GCCCGATTCTGATTGCATTCGCACATCAACACAAAACCTGAGAGCATCCACACTTGTGGCTTTGCCCTCCACCTCATGCAGCACACAGGAAAGAGACACTAAAAAAGAATTACCACCTATTTCATTTAAACCTGGGCTTGTTTTCCTGCCTTCAATATAAACTGACAGGCAGAAGATTCAGACTTTCCTCTGCAGACCTGAAGACTTTTTTTTTTTTTTTTTTCCTGCATGTTAAGTGGCTTCTCCTCTTCCCTTTACCTGCAGGAGGTTGGATTCATCAGAGCTGTGACAAAGGTGCAGACAGCCCGTTTCAAGATGAGAAGGGACAACGTTGTTTTGCATGAAGATCTGCTGCTCTCCTTGCAGGAGCTCCCAGACACCTACAACTATGGCATGTATGCCAAATTCATCAACGACTACGGCACCCACTTCATGACATCAGGCACTATGGGAGGCATCTTTGAGTACATCCTGGTCATTAACAAGGAGGAAATGAGAAGAAAAGGTTAGAAAATGACAAGATATTCTCTGTTCACACCTTTCTGCTCTAAACCAGGCATTTCTAACCCAGTGACCATGGGGTAGGTCCAGTCCACCAGAGTAATTCATCTGGCTCTGGCTGCTCCCCACAGCCATCATCTCCCTGGGCTCCGGGAGGGTGGGTGTTCATCGGCAACTCTTTGCTGAGCTGGTTGGCATGTCCCATCATGTGATAGACACATACACATCACAAGCCCCCCAAAAAACCAGTAGGGGTGGGGTAGGAGGATCTGCACATTGCTCACAAGACAGATGCACTACTGTCCACATAGCAGAGGAGAAGCTTGAGTGTCACAAAATGTGCTTCTTGATCTAATGTCAGAAGAACCTAGGTAAGATTTTGGTAGTTTAGGAAGGAACACGAGCATCTTCTCCCTTTCTTCCAGTGTCACTTGCTAGACTGCTCTGAACTTCTCCTATTTCTTGTCGTCATTCTGGCTGTTCTCACAAATGCTTAAAGACTTCACTTCCAGAGTAGAGGAAGATGGTCCACTAATGTACTGGCCTCCTTATAGTCAGGGCTTCCATTTTCTGTAAATGGAAATAATTCATTGCACTTGACAATTCCTCCAAGGAATGGAGGATGGAGGGGAGCCAGGTGGAGCCCGATTCTGATTGCATTCGCACATCAACACAAAACCTGAGAGCATCCACACTTGTGGCTTTGCCCTCCACCTCATGCAGCACACAGGAAAGAGACACTAAAAAAGAATTACCACCTATTTCATTTAAACCTGGGCTTGTTTTCCTGCCTTCAATATAAACTGACAGGCAGAAGATTCAGACTTTCCTCTGCAGACCTGAAGACTTTTTTTTTTTTTTTTTGCTTCTCCTCTTCCCTTTACCTGCAGGAGGTTGGATTCATCAGAGCTGTGACAAAGGTGCAGACAGCCCGTTTCAAGATGAGAAGGGACAACGTTGTTTTGCATGAAGATCTGCTGCTCTCCTTGCAGGAGCTCCCAGACACCTACAACTATGGCATGTATGCCAAATTCATCAACGACTACGGCACCCACTTCATGACATCAGGCACTATGGGAGGCATCTTTGAGTACATCCTGGTCATTAACAAGGAGGAAATGAGAAGAAAAGGTTAGAAAATGACAAGATATTCTCTGTTCACACCTTTCTGCTCTAAACCAGGCATTTCTAACCCAGTGACCATGGGGTAGGTCCAGTCCACCAGAGTAATTCATCTGGCTCTGGCTGCTCCCCACAGCCATCATCTCCCTGGGCTCCGGGAGGGTGGGTGTTCATCGGCAACTCTTTGCTGAGCTGGTTGGCATGTCCCATCATGTGATAGACACATACACATCACAAGCCCCCCAAAAAACCAGTAGGGGTGGGGTAGGAGGATCTGCACATTGCTCACAAGACAGATGCACTACTGTCCACATAGCAGAGGAGAAGCTTGAGTGTCACAAAATGTGCTTCTTGATCTAATGTCAGAAGAACCTAGGTAAGATTTTGGTAGTTTAGGAAGGAACACGAGCATCTTCTCCCTTTCTTCCAGTGTCACTTGCTAGACTGCTCTGAACTTCTCCTATTTCTTGTCGTCATTCTGGCTGTTCTCACAAATGCTTAAAGACTTCACTTCCAGAGTAGAGGAAGATGGTCCACTAATGTACTGGCCTCCTTATAGTCAGGGCTTCCATTTTCTGTAAATGGAAATAATTCATTGCACTTGACAATTCCTCCACCACTTCTCTCTGGTTAGTGTCACATCTGAAGACTAACAGGCCTCTGTCAGCTCCAGCTCTCAACCAACTGGAGTGTATGAGGCTGGAGAGCCATGCCTCTACATCTCAGTTAGATGAAACATCCACTGCAGAGGTCTAGAGCACAAGAACAGCCATTACAAGCAAGCCAAAGCACAACATTTTTTCTAATCAAAACCATAAGATGCAGAACAATAATATGATACTTTAGTAAACTAATCACATTGTCAGCTCTTGCAAAGGTGTAGACCATGGAATAGGTCCCACTTTCCCTCAGGACCATCCCTCTGCTCTGCTGAGGTTAACCCTGCCTTGGTAACTCCAGACTGGACATTCATGCAGAAGAAATTTGCCATCTTAGACAACGAGTGCAAATTGCTGTAATTCCATTAATTTCCAAGGTTCTGACCCAAATTCTGCCTCCAGTCTGAAATGGTTTGGTACCATCAGCACTAGGATAACTATGCACTCCATACTGAGTGTTAACCAGGCCAATTTTTCCACAAGAAATTACCGACTGAGCAAATTTTCATCAAGTTCCTGAGCTACTAGAGTTTGGAAACATGATGCCTCTTCAGATCATTTATTCACTTTGAAGAGTGAGTGATATAGAAGTGAACAAGTTCTTGGCAAGCAAGTTTTCATGAAGCAGATTGCCAATTCCAGAGAATGAATGAATCAAGAGGATACGGAGGGAGGCTATTATTTTGCTTTATCTTGTGCTTGCTGTGGATATAAGGAGGAGATTTAGTGCTACAAGATGCCTTATCTCAGGGAAGAAGGATGCTGAAGTTCAGCAAAAGACAAAAACGTTCCCCAGTAGGGATGCAATGTTCATTCAGATGCAGCAAGCTTTGTCATTTTCATCTAACCCAGGCTCTGCCAGGAAGTCCACGTTTACCACAGAGTAAGCAGTGCTCTATGTCATGCAACGCAGACCCAGAAGGACCCACCTGCAGTGGCTAACATGCCACTGCCTAAGAGCATTTAGCAAAAAACCCTGTACTTTCTAACAGTGATCACAATCATCCTTGAAGGCTGTATTTGCAAGAGGATTATCTGCCTCCCCTGGGGAACGGTCAGGATCAGGATATAAGCGCTCAAGTCTTAAAATCAGAGCTTCCAAAGATGAGTTTGAAGCTCTGCAGATGCCTGGAGATGTGCAGCTGAGTCCCTACAGGGCTGAGCAGCACAGCGCCTGCTTTACATCAACCACTGCATCCTGAGAGCCCACCAAGTCCAGAAGGCTCCATGTTAAATGCTCTGGAAGAGAAAACACCCCTTTTTTATAGGACTAGTGATTAAAGCACATGCCCAGGAAAAAGATCCCTAGGCTGTGTCCTCCTTGAATAACAGACAGCTCGGGTGGTCGCTGAGCATCCAGCTAGGCATAGGACTCTAGAAAACCTGAATGTTGAAAATCAAGTTCCTTTCTGGGTTTAGATACCCAGGAACAGACCACAAGTCACCAGTGCAGAGCTTAGGACCTGCAGCTTTGCTGCCAGACCCACTTCTGGCTTTCAGGCTGCAGGGACTTGTATGGATGTGGTCAGGAGGGAAATAAATAGGTATGTCAGAGTGAGGTCCCTTGTTGCTCTGGCATCAATATTTTTCATTACTTGTTTTTAAAATAGATGGTTATGGTTCTATTATTTAGCAGAAAACAGCATAATGTGTTCACACATTACAAGAACATTTATGGGAGCCACATTATGCACAGAGTAAATTAGACTCTTCATATATTCTGATTAATTCAAAATGCTGCAGTAAATCTTATCACTCCAGCACATTTAACTATCACAAATTATATCAGAGAAAAAACCCAAACCTATCAGGGTTCCCCCCTCAAGTGCCAATATTTTTCTGTGGCCACCCTTTTGCAATGATAACCACTTTTCATCTATCAAGACCTGATCTTGCTGCAACCAACAGCGAATTGTATTGACAGATCCTTGCTGAACATCATTACTGAACAGGAACCGTGGTGAATCAATTAATCAGGGTGTTCCTCAAGTCTAATTTGATGGCACTCCACCACCAAGAGGAGCCATCACTCACAGAGCTTTGGGTGAATGAACTTTACCCACTGCGTCTGCAACTGGAGAACAGTTTAGCACAAGTAATCGAGTGCTACACAGCTAATCTTCCTCTAGGGCCCAGTTTTGCAATGGGATGTGATTCCCCCCCTGAAGTCTTGATCACACTTCAGCTCTCTCCAGTTTGAATCCAGGATGTGCAGCCCCTTTTTTTTGGGATGCTGAGCTCCTCCATCAGTTAGGGCCCACCAAGCCAACAAGCAGATCCATGTCCCATGTGGCCCCAACAAGCTTTGGATGTGCCCAAAGGCCCAAAACCAGAGTGATGGGTATTTTACCAGGATTTTAAACCTGAGAAAGACTGGTCCCCAGAGCTGGGCTGAGGCAGCTCAGCAGACAACACTCTGGGTTCCATCTTTAGACTATAAGCACAAATCCCACTGACTTCTGTGCCTCCCTTGTAGTACTGGGGTAGTGATCACTGGGCTGCTTTGTAAAACACTTTAAGGTCCTCTGACAAAAAGAGCAATATAAAAGTTACTTGTTACTTAAAATACTCCTATTTACTGAAATCAATGGATTTTTTAACTACTTCAGAAGACAGCCTTATCTTTGCAGTACACTGAATGTGCACACAAAAGCAGGCTCTATGAAATATGCACATTGTTCTCCTTGATGAAAGCACCTCACTAGCTCCCTTCTCTGCTCTGCAGCATCTTTGTGGGTCTCCAGTTTCCTCTTTCCATGGTGTAGGTGGTGGTGCAGGCAGCAGGAGCCCAGTGCAGGCAGCAAGGCTGTGGCAGCTCTCAGCAGACATTCTCCAAGCTGCTGCTTCAGATCCTGTTTGAGCCACAAATACCTGGGTCAGATCCTCAGTTCAGAAAAACTAGCCAGCACCTCCTGACTTCAGCTGCCATTCCCAGCTTTGCCACAATTATGACTAAGGCTGCAAAAAAAATTAAATAAATTATGTTTTATTTTTAAACAAATAGACCAAACAAAGAAATACATGCCTGAAGGCATGTGTTAAGGATTTTACTGTCTTCTAATACTTTCTAAACAATTTTATAGCAAGGGCATTTCCCTTTTCCCCTACTGTGTGATAAGCCTCATATACCCAAATAAAAATACTGGCTTTTCCACTGCAAGACTAAAGGCCTGGAATAGCTCCTGACTTTGAAAAACAGGCCATGCAAATAACTGAGTATTTTCTTCACTGAAAGAAAATTTTAAAAGTAGAAAAACAAACATCCTTCTCCTGAGAAGGAGGAACTGGTTTCAGTGGTTTCCTTTCTGTTTTGCAGACATCAAAGCTGGAGAGATCAGTGCCTGCATCGGCGCATCCATCGGCGTCGAAGTCAGCGAGAGCAAAGTGCATCTGGAAGCATCTGTGTCCTCCTCATCCTGTGTACAGAAAGGGTTTCTGGAAACAGGTATGGCAGCAGGGTAGCTGGATGCTTGGGCAGCTGGCATCACTTGGGCATGGAGATTCAAAGAGGGTCACACAAGGGTACCACAAAGGTGGCTCTGGTCCCATCCCCAGCTCAGGCCCAGCTCTGGGACTAAAGTGACTTTGGGTCCAAGTCTCCAGGTGCAGTGATTGCTCTTGAAAGAGCAGGAATTAAGGAATTAATCCAGTAGGGATATCTGGATTAGAAATGCATGTAAATGAAGGCAGCGGGGTGGCTGGAAGGCTGCAGTCCCTATAGCTATAACAGACTGGGCAAGGGTGACATGGACAAAGAGGCAACCATTAAAGAACTCAAAACTGACTATAAAAAGTACTCAGAGAGGTGAGGAAGCCCTAGGTTTGTAAATCACTTAACTAACTACAGACAGCTTGACCAACTGCCCAGGTGCTAACTAGAAAAAAAGGCTAGAGGTCTTTCAGGCTCCTCAAGTCCTACCAGCTTATTAGTGACCCCCACCTGGTAACACGGCAGGTGGGCACACCGAGCTCCCGTCAACCTCAGGAGGCAGCATCACTGCTCCGGCCTCCATCAAGCACCTTCTAGTTGGTGTGTGGAAACAGTGACTAAATAACATGGGTGCAATTCAACTTCCCAGATGCTGGGAGCCACAGTGCAGTTGTGGAAGACGTTATTCCCCGGATTAGAGGCGGAGACCTGGGTTCCAGCGGAGGCCTCTTAAACAGCTGGGATGGCAACACGTACCGGCGCTGGGGAAGGTCGTTAAAATATAATCCTGCTGTTATTGATTTTGAGGTAAGGCTTTGCTGCAGCTGAAGAGACTCTGCCACTTGAAGGAATGAGAGTGTAGTCGAGCAGATCATTTTGTATTTTTATTGTGATCTCATCACAGAACAAGATTAAATGTAATGGGCCACTGATCTGGTAACCTCTTCATTCATTTCACAATGGGGAGTACATCTCCCACCGACTGCATCCGCAGGGAGACAGACAAGGAGCTTAATGCTGGATTAGTGCTGAGTTAAGTTTCTGATGTGTCCCCAAACAGCTTCCCAATAGAATAGCTCTCCGTGGTTGTATTTATCCCTATTATTCTTCCTGCCTGCCTTCCTGTATGAGCAGGGGACTCGTGGGAGGCAGGGGGACTAGGGACAGAGCCTTGCCCCCCCAGCAAAGCCTCTGCATAGACCCCCCCTGCTTTTCATCTGCCTGAAAGCCACAGCATTCCCTATGCCCAACCTGTGCAGATTATGGTGGATTTTGCTATGGGAGATTCCAGATTTTCGACCAAGGGGCTCCTGGCTGCTTTCTTACATGGGTCCTGTCTCTCTCCATGCTCCACAGCCATAAAAATCAGCCAATTTCTCCTCCTCCCTTAATTTCATGGGATGCCTCATACAATGGAGAGATCACTGAAATATCCTACAAGTTTTCAGAGATTTGGAGGAGATGGGTGCAAGCAGAGGAGATGGGAAAGAAGAGAGAATTCAGAGCCAGAAACCACAGAGGCATGAGGAGGTGGGCACGCTCCTCAGCGGCAGTCAGAAGTAGCACATCTACCTTGAGATGCTGTGATGGCTGGTCTGCTCCAGAAGCACAGCTGTATGAGGGAAGGACCTTGGTCATGTCAGGGACACACTGCTGTTTCCATCCCTCCCATCTCCATTTGAAAGTATGCCTGCTCCTGGCTCTGACAGAGCAGGGGAGAAGGGAAGGTGGAATCAGGAACCAAGTGCAAAGGGTGACAGAGCCTGCAGACTCTCCTGGGCAGCACCCTGGCAGCAGAGAGCCCTGATAAAGCAGAAGCACTTTCAGGTTGTTCACCTCTCTGCACAAGTTCCCAGCAACTCAGGGGCAAAATTTACTGCAATTTTCCAATAAACCATGAGCTGACCTCTCTGTTGGCTGCTCTAGAGCTCAGCACTGGCTGTGCAACCAAAGCTGCTGATAAGTGCTCACATCCACTTCAGCAGCTCTTATCTGCAGCTCCCTCTCCTTTGTTGAGCAGTCTTGTGCAAATTTGTCTAAGAGCTCTTCCCAAAGCCCAGCTGATCTGCCAAATTGCTCTCACTGTGCCTTGTGCAATGAGATGATGTCCAGCTCTTCTCCGGGACTGGTTTCCACCAAGTCCCAGGCAGGACACACAGAGTTTGCACAGATCAGGATGGACAAACACAAATACTTGTCCTCACATCAACCTTAGGCTTTTAGCTTTAACATTCAGCTGGATTTTTCTTACTGGTGAAAAGAGAAAGCCTGAGATTTTTCAGGGAAATGTTTTCCAGACACAGTTTAATACCTAAAACATCCCAGTGAGCCACTTGGAGGGATTCAGGAGGTAGAATGTTACCACCATGAGCCTGCAGCCCTTCAGCTCATCCAACCATTTTATGACACAAGTTCAACGGAGAAGAAAAGTCATTATCACAATTGCCCACACTGAGCTATTTGTGCTGGATGGTCTATGAGAACTGGGCTTTTGAGGCTGGAAAAATTATCAGGAACATGATAAGGTCTTAAAGCTGTTATTTGCCTGCATCAAAGGGCAAAAATGAGGAGGGCAAAATTCTTCATGCTCAGTGTTTACCAGATGGTTCACAATCCAGTCATCATGAGTGGGAGGTTGACTTTAAGTTTTGATGCCATCTGCTGCCCAAAGCTCTTACCAAAACACTTTGGTGCAGAAAGGCCAAAACCAAGCACGAATCTCTGAGACTGTGACAGAACTATGAAATCAGTCAAAAATGGGCTTTCTGGGGTGTTTTAATTTATCATTTGAATCCCAACTGCAACCCCAACACACGTTCAGGAAAGCCAGTTCCACACAAACCTGGACGATGAGGTTTGGAAGGGTGGTTTCTCCCAGGAGCCCCCTAGTCGTGCTACCGCATTTGCGGGGTGCAGGTGGAGCTGCCGAGGAAGACAAGTGAGTTTTGCTGAGTCTCTCCAGCGACGTTGCAGCTCCGCTCGTGGCGCGGCAGCGCCTCAGCTGATGCCCAACTGATGCTGTCTCTTCATCTCCACCCTGTGCAGCTGCAGCCCATCCACGAAATCCTGCGGAGAAGCAACCTGGGCCACCTGGAAGCCAAATGGCAGAACCTGAAGCGGGCTCTGGACGAGTACCTGCTGGAGTTCCACCCCTGCCGCTGCCAGCCCTGCCAGCACAGCGGGGAGCCCGTCCTGCTGAGAGACGCCTGCGTCTGCCAGTGCCGACCAGGCTACGGAGGCCCTGCCTGTGAGCAGACCCAGCGCCCAGGTAAGAGCCTTCGCAGGGCCAGAGGCAGCAAAGGGACAGGATTTTCTCCTCCACGTGGTTTATCAGCAGCTCTTTACACCCATGCATCACAGAATCATTAAGGATGGAAGGGACCTTTAAGGGCCATCAAGTTCCAACCCCCCTGCCATGAGCAGGGAAGCACTAGATCAGGTTGCACAAAACCTCATCCAACCTGGCCTTAAAAACCTCCAGGGATGGGGCATCAACAGCCTCCCTGGGCAACCCATTCCAGTTCCTCACCACCTTTATAAGGAAGAATTTCTTCCTAATATCTAAACTAAATCTCCCCTCTCTCAGTTAAAACCGTTACCCCTTGTCCTATCAGTATCTTCTCTGATGAAAAGCCCCTCCCCAGCTTTCCTGTAGGCCCTTGCAAGTACTAGAAGGCTGCTGTGAGGTCTCCCCAGAGCCTTCTCTTCCCTTGGCTGAACAGCCCCAACTCTCAGGAGAGCTGCTCCAGGCCTTTGATCATCTTGATGGCCCTTCTCTGGACTTCTCTCTCCAACAGGTCTATATCTTTCTCGTGCTGAGGGCACCAGAACTGTACACAGTATTCCAGGTGGGGTTTCACCAGAGCAGAGCAGAGGGGCAGAATCCCCTCCCTGGCCCTACTGGCCACACTTCTTTTGATGCAGCCCAGGACACAACTGGCTCTCTGGGCTCCAGCACACACTGGTGGCTCATGTCGAGCTTCTCATCTGCTACCACCCCCAAGTCCTTCTCCTCAGGACTGTTCTCCAGCCATTCTCCCCCCAGCCTATAATTGTGCTTGGGATTGCACTGATCCAGGTGCAGGACCTTGCACTTGGCCTTGTTGAACTTCATGAGGTTGGCACTGGCCCACCTCTCCATCCTGTCAAGGTCCTTCTGGATGGCATCCCTTCCCCCTAGGGTGTCAACCACACCACACAGGTTGGCATCATCATCAGACTTGCTGAGGATACACTCAATCCCACTGTCCATGTCTCCAACAAAGATGTTGAACAGCACTGGTCACAGTACTGACCTCTAAGGAACACCACTCCTCACTTGCCTCCATTTGGACCGTCCAGCCAATCTCTTATCCACCGAGTGGTCCATCTGTCAGCTTCCTGAGGCTGTTTCTGATATTTAGATATCATGCTCATTCTTCAAGCTTTTCCTCTAGAAATAACTGAATTTGAACTAGAATAACTTAAGTTTGTTCAGATTCACTACTATAACATTTGATCTGTAGTTATAAATCAGTGCTGAGCTTCATTGGCTGTAATCTCTGTCTGTGTATGCTGTCAACAGTACTGATGTTCTCTTTGTTATTTTCTTCCTAATTTTTTCAGAGGAAAAAAAACTTTGTGTGAGGTACACTTATGTCTTTAAACAGAAAAGTGTTTAATTCAAAAGAAAACTTATTTAGTACATCTCAGTAGTTTCTCTGTACTAAATTCTACTTAGTACAGTCATTCCTAAAGTAATATTTTGCCAACAATTGCTGTGAAGAGGTACTAGGGATGCTTTTGTTTTCCCCAAATGTCCCCTTTTTGAAAGACAAAACTAACATTTTTCTGTGCCTTGGAGATTGCCATGTCTCATGCAGGCTTTCAAAGCAACAGCAATGTTTATTCAATGACAGGAGAAGTGTTTGGCAGTCCCTCCTAGATATCTTTGTGTATTGTAAAATACATCAACAGTTCCTGGAGCAGGATCCTGAGCTAAAGTTCCTACTATGCTATTTACTACCCCAATTGCTATGCTACCTTGTCAGGTTCATGTTATTATGCCCTAAAACCCAAATAATTCTAATGAATGATGTGTACTATAGCTAAGGGATGGAGTGTTCTCATAATATTGTTTCACAACAATTAGAATCATAGAATGCCAGGTTGGAAGGAACCTCAAGGATCAGCTGGTCCAATCTTTTTAGGTAATCCTGTAGCTTATATGAGGTGGCTCAGCACCGTGTCAAGCTGAGACTTGTCCAATGTGGGGGAATCTACCACTTCCCTCGGGAGACTATTCCAATGTTTGATTGTGCTCATGGTGAAAAGTGTACCTCTTGTGTCCAATCAGAATCTCCCCAGGAGCAACTTGTGTATAAGGAAGAATTTCTTCCTAATATCTAAACTAAATCTCCCCTCTCTCAGTTAAAACCGTTACCCCTTGTCCTATCAGTATCTTCTCTGATGAAAAGCCCCTCCCCAGCTTTCCTGTAGGCCCTTGCAAGTACTAGAAGGCTGCTGTGAGGTCTCCCCAGAGCCTTCTCTTCCCTTGGCTGAACAGCCCCAACTCTCAGGAGAGCTGCTCCAGGCCTTTGATCATCTTGATGGCCCTTCTCTGGACTTCTCTCTCCAACAGGTCTATATCTTTCTCATGCTGAGGGCACCAGAACTGTACACAGTATTCCAGGTGGGGTTTCACCAGAGCAGAGCAGAGGGGCAGAATCCCCTCCCTGGCCCTACTGGCCACACTTCTTTTGATGCAGCCCAGGACACAACTGGCTCTCTGGGCTCCAGCACACACTGGTGGCTCATGTCGAGCTTCTCATCTGCTACCACCCCCAAGTCCTTCTCCTCAGGACTGTTCTCCAGCCATTCTCCCCCCAGCCTGTATTTGTGCCTGGGGTTGCACTGACCCAGGTACAGGACCCTGCACTTGGGCCTTATTGAACTTCATGAGGTTGGCACTAGCTCACCTGTCCAGGTCCCTCTGGATGGCCTCCCTTCCCTTTAGGGTGTCAACCACACCACACACCTTGGTATTGAGTCACAATATTGGTATCAATCACCCCTTGTCTTCTGGATGGCTTCTCTTGCTACGCTACCCTAAGCAGCCCTGCAAGAGAATTAAATTAACAGCTCAGGTGATTATTATAAATAAATTAGTGGAAATGAGGATGTGTTAATAGCTGCAGACTTACTGATGTGCTGCTAAAAGGTGAGCTGGGGTGCAGCAGCCTGTAGGCAAAGCCCAGCTGCCAGCTAAGGGGGGGGCTCTGCCTGCCCACTGTGCTCCAGGGATGCAGCGTGTTGCTGTAAATGAGATCATCATCTGGTCCTCCTTGGCTGGCCCAGCACTCCTCAGGATGGCCATTCTCCAGAGCACTGGCAGCTACAAGGGTGAGAGTGCAAACCTGGGCAGGCAGGGAGGGAAGGGAGGCTGGAAGTGTCAGGCAAAGCCACTGGGAAGTTGTGCTCAAGAAATGTGTGTCACCAAGAGGGCTGGAATAAGAAGAAATTTCCACACTGCCAGATTTCTCCTCCCTCTCCCCCTCAAAACATTTTAACTAGAGGGAAGTACCTATTTTGAGGGAGATAAAAGGTGGTTTTCCAAAGGGACAGACTTTTATTTATGGCTTTTTAATATGTTATTGTATATATTTATATACTATTATATACCCTCTCAACACAAAATGAAATGGTTGGCAAAGGAGCCAACCTTGAAATGTGCTCTTTTATTTAAAAAAATGTCACAGTCCTTTCTGGATATTTTTGTTCTGATTTGTGATGACAAAAAATAAAAATCCAAACCATAGTACTTGAAGCTGGCAGGAAAACCCATCTTTAGAGCAGTTCCACCAGCCAGTGCTCCAGGTCTTTAACCATGTGCTCCTAACTGGGGTGTCACCATTGGCAAAGCAAAGCTGTGATGAGATGAGGAGTAAGAGCAGAGCTGGGCAGATGGTGTATGAAGCTGAACTGCAAAGCACTGCTTCAGTGACTCAAAAGTGGGCCTCTTTAAAAAAAATCTCAAGTTCATTGAGTTGTCTCCAAATCCAAGGAATCTACCTTAGATGAGGAGCATGGAAAGCTCAGGACCTGGCCCCTAAGCAGCCCACTGAACTGCCCAGCCCTGGTGCTTTTAGCAACAGTGGGGAAACACACACTTCCAGCTTGTGGGAAATGAAGCAAATTTTTCGTTTTAAAACTCATTTAAGATCAAACCCAATTTTGTAAAGAATTCTGTTCCAGCAGATGGGAAACCCAGCTTTTCAGCAGCATTAAGAGCACACACATCCATTTGTGCTGTCTGGATTAATAAAGTGCCCAAGCCAGGCATGAAGGCCAGTTGAGTAAATAAAAAATGACAGTAAATGACAGCCATCAAGCACTCCCATCACTCAGGAACACGCCACAATCCAGTGTCAGACGCTCCTGACAACTCAGTTTGTCCTGTAATGAAAATGCCTTGAAATGACCAAAGGGATGGGCAGACTTTTCAGAACAGCCCCAAGATGCTTGGGGCTTGGTCAGAGGTGGGAATGTTAGTGTAGAGAGAGCTGTCAGCTGCCCTTTGGAAAAGGGAAGTTGAACTGCAGTCCTAAATGAGCAGAGGAGAAAAAGAGATAGGTATTGTCATTTGAAGCAGGTGATGCTGCTTCATCTCAGCTGGCTTCAAAGCACTTTGATCTCAACAGCCATCTGTGGGCTGGGAATGGTTGGGATGGACCAAGGAGCTCACACCCACAGCCAAAATCCTGAACTGCTGCTGGCACTCACAGAATGGTTTTGGCTGGAAAAGACCTTTCAGACCATCAAGTCCAACCATTCTCCCAGCACTTCCAAGTCCCCACTAAATCACATCCCACACCTACACAGCTTTTAAACCCCTCCAGGGATGGGGGCTCCACCACCTCCCCGGGCAGCCTGTCAGTTCAACTCAGCCTTCCTCCCCTGCTCTCATCCAACGTGTGCCGCTGCGCCCAGCCAAGAGGCAGCAACTCAGGCTTCAACCCTTTCATTTTCTCCTGGTTTTCTTGATGCCTTTCCAGGTGGTGAGACCCACGGGGGCTGGAGCTGCTGGTCGCAGTGGGGTCCCTGCCAGGCGGGCAGGACGCGGCGCCGCCGGGACTGCAACAACCCGGCCCCACAGCGCGGGGGGCAGCCCTGCCCAGGGAGAGACGTGCAGAGCAAAGCCTGTTGAGAGTCCCACCACTGCTCCCCAGGCTCCAGAGCTGCTTGGAGGCCGTGCTGAGTGAGAAATACTCCAGGGATAATCCTGCAACGGATTTGTGTCAAGTATTGCATTCCTACCTGTACGGGGAGAGCTGGATTCGCCTGCTCACCAAACAGAGCCAACCTAAGCAACAAGAGAACCAGACCACCTGCTCTAGCTGATTGAAGGCATCCCTGGCTGTCCCCTCATTCTCACACCCCAAAATGTGACGGAAGCCCTGGCACCACACAGGAGACAGTGGAGAATTAGAGAATCATATAGAACGTTTTGGGTTGGAAGGGACCTCAAAGATCATCGAGTTCCAACCCCCCTGCATGGCCAGGGACACCTCCCACCAGACCAGGTTGCTCAAAGCCCCATCCAGCCTGCCCTTCAACACTGCCAGGGATGGGGCGGCCACAGCTTCCCTGGGCAACCTGTTCCGGTGTCTCAACACCCACACACTAAATAATTTCTTCCTAATATCCAACTTAAATCTCCCCTCTAGTGGCTTTGTTGCTGGGTGAAAAATAAATTTACTCAAAGTGTTTCCCTAAGTAAGCTTGACATGCAGAAATGTTTATATTTTCCCTTGGAAACCACATTAAAAGCTCATTCATGATCCCTACATTTTCATGCAGTTGGTATTGACATATGTACCATGAAACTTACTTGAAGTTGGTGCTGTCAGGTTTTTAAGTCCAGCATATTGGCCAGGGCTGGATTTACAGCAGAGCCATCTGCTGCTCTGCATGGGAAGAGCTTGAAGCCTAAAGATACCAGAGCATCATTGCAAAACTTAACCCCAAACTGATGAAGAACCTTCAATAAGTAAATAAAGTAACAAATGGAGAGGCTGGAACACAACCATTCAGCAGAGGATGTTCACACACCAGCTAAGGCTCCTCTTTAAGACCAGTGATGAATGGACTATTAGCACACAAGAGTTTTATCTCCCAGGCTCCCAGACCCAGAGAAGATGCTAACGGGCTGCTTGATTTAAGGGGCTTCTTTGAATCCAAGACGTAAATCTCTGCACAAGAATATACTCAATATTGAACTGCATCCAGAGACCACGGCAGAGCCTGCAGCTCCCTCTTCTTAATGAACTGCCACAAAAACCTGGGGTGGATGGAAGGCGAATGGCACTTCATTTTACTGGGCTTTTCATTACAAGAAGGGAAAAAAACCAAAAAAGCCCTGAGAAGGAATCGGGCATTATGAAAAGCAACAGCAGCAACAAAACCTCAAAGAACAAAGGAGCACTTCTATATACATTTGAATGGAGAGAGGGAGCAGAAAGGAATCATGTTTTGGGGAAAAGCAATTGCTCAGCTATAGCTCTGGTTCTTGGAAATGCTTGTTTTTCAACAGGGTGTCAGCAGTGATTTAAGAGTCTGACACTTGGCTGATGTAAATCAGTGTCACTCCTTTGCCACAGCTGATTTATGCTACCTGAGGATCTGGCCCCTTATTTTCTTTTGTGCACGTTTGCCAAAGGACCCCTTTTTTCACCACTCCTCTTTTGCTTGCAAATGAAACTATAAGTTCTTCTTGTAAGAGAAAACAACAGACCATGTTGCCTTGGACACTGAGATGCAATTGTTCTGTGAAAAATCCCGATGATGTGTGGTAGAGCTGTGGCCTTTTTCCCAACTTTGTTTTTCTAGGTAAAGGTGATACTCACTCAGAGATGAATTTGCTCCCAAAGGCTTGAATATAATGCCTTCTGTTGGGAAAATGCAGCAGCATGAAGCATCCGTGTATTGCTGTGATTTAGACATCCCAGAGGGATGTGAAATGTAGGATCAAAACAAGGTTTCCCACCAGTGGTTTTATCAACATTGTTTGGCATTGAGCTGGCAGGTTATGTATAAGCTCTTGCACCAAGGACCACTTTGGCTCATGGGCAATTCTTGCCTTTACACTGACAGGAAAAGGCCTGAAAATAAATGAGTATAAAGTCATCTTAGTTAGAAAGCCAAGTACACTGCTTTTGTGACCAGAGGGAAGAAATTAATGAAGAGAAAGATCTGATGCCTCAGAGGCTGGGGAGGGATGAGGCCTGCAGGAAGGCAGCTAATATCCTCAGCTTTTAAAGCTATTTCTAGAAGGACAGATCACAGGCTGGAGAACCACAAAAGAAGAAATCCAAGTGATGAAAGAAACTCACGTGAAAAACCACGTATAAATAAGAGCAAAAACCTGTAGCTGTTCATTCTCCACTTGGAACACGGCGACGTTGGGGTAGATGTGAACGTGAGGATACGTGCAGGGCAGAGTTCATGGCTCACCTTGCTGAAGTCAAAAGAAAGGAAGAAGCTGTCTGAAAAAAAAAAAAGGAAAAAAAAAATCAGATGATGAGCAATTACACATTTAGAATTGCAGTCAAAGAAGCTAATGTATCTCATGCTGAAGTGGCCAGCATGAGAGTTGTGCTAGATGAGATAAGCAGCAAAAACGTACGTTCCTTTCTCAAACTAAAAGCTTAAAGGGTAAAATAAAACCCTGCAGTTCCACCCTGCTTTTAATGAATGGATTTTCCCCCCTTGCACACTGACATACATTTGATGTAGTTATTTATCCTATATATTTCTTGTGGCATATTTCCCAGGAGACCTTGTTTATCTTGCTCATAAGTACATGATGGATGGATGGTGCTTTGGATAAATGGTATCACAATCAGATATTTTTATGGATATGGGCAAACCAGGTTATTAACAAAGGAAGGGCAGAGAGGAACCAGTATGGAAAAGAAAATAGGAAATGATTGATGACAATACACCTGAGGTGGCAAGGTGCAGGCTCCAGATAACCAGCTAACAGAAGAGCAGATAAGGCCAGTGCTTGAGACCAAGCTGTTTCCTACCTCAGGGTGAATGTCACACCAACCACCCGAGTCCTGCGTCCCTCTGAGCCTGCGACCTCAGAGCGGGCAAAAACTGCCCAGCAGGAGCAGCTCAAAAATGATTGCCTTCCTTTTTATGCAGTGTAAGGCAGAGGAAGATACAAAACATTTAATCCTACCCCAAAAAACCTGAAACAAAAGAAATGGCAGATCCTGGAGTTTGGGGAGGGACTGGCATTTGTTGTGCTGCTCTGCCACCCCCAACACAGCAGGACTCTTGGTGCTGCATTGCAAGTAAGTATAAAAAATATGTTCATAATGGTAATAATTACTGGCTTCATCTCGAGTTTTGTTAATTTACATAAGCAGGGAGAGTGTTGAAATAGGGTGTAAAAGGAAGACAAATCTGCGGGCATCATTCGACCTGAAATCTAGCAGTTTTCTTGGGTGCTCACAGGGCCTTGTAGGCATCATGGCAGCAGGAGCTGGAAATCTGGGGACTGTCAACAGCTCTGCATGGACTCACTGGGCTGCTTCCAGCAAAACCTCCCTGTTTGGGAGAGAACCTGGGGAGGAACAACTATATCCATCTGATAGTGGGAGAAGCAGGAGCATGAGAAAGTAATTTAGCAACACTACAAGCAACCACAGGGTCTGCAAGTCCCCAGCCTCACAGGTAAAGCTAAAGTGTCTACGTGACATGAAGAGACAAGGAGCAAATGAATCCAGGCTGGAGACTAGCCTGATTTACACATTCCTGATGGAGATGTTTGGGGCTGCAGGAATTGAGCTGGTTTTGCTCTGGGAAGGCTGGAAGTGACAATTACAACTTACCTAAAATATCCTTTTGGGAGCTTCCTAAGCCATGTTGACTGCATTCAGCACACCTCCCAGCAGCAAGGAGGCAGAGAAAATACAGCTTCTCCGTGTTTACTGAATTCCTCTGGTTCACAAGCAAACTGCTTGAGTAAATATAACATGGGATGTAGTAAAGCCCATTGAGACACGAGTCTTACCCAGAGAATCAGGCAGTCAGTGTGTGCCCACATCGTGCCTGGAGCCTTCCTGGGCTTTCAAATGGGGGTTATTAATCTAAACTTACACAGCAAGTGGAAGTCAGAAACACCAGGAAAAGATAGCACCAAAATTCAATGTGTATCAAAATGAAACAATAAAAGCTTCGGCATCGTATTTTTTATTCCCCTCCAGGTCATAATAAATCATTAGTCAGTTGTATCAAAGCACAAAATTGGAAGGACAAGATAAAGTTATGTCCTTTATGGGAGGTTTCTAAGGCTATAAATTCAATATCAACCACTACTGAAATCATACCTTGATTAGACTAGCCCGTTGATCCTGAAGATTGTCAAACCTCTCCTCTCTTCCTCCAAAAAATTCCTCAAATATGAAAATGCAGGTAGTGCCACTTGAAATAAAACAGGCTTTTCTGATCTAGGAACAAGAGTCCAAAGTCCAGGTGCTACACTGGGCTCTGCTTGCCTCAGCAATGGGTGAGACACACCATGACCATGTGTCAGAGTGCTTACTCCAGCTTGATGACCAGGAAAGGTGGTCAAACTTACAAAAGCCACTCGACTCATCTGAGAAAGTCCCTTTATTAGATTTACATCAATACTTCTCATGAAGGGCAGGCAGCTGCAGTGTAGTCCCAGTCCTCAAAGGCACCATGAACCATGACCAGGGTCCTCTGCTGTGGAGCTTCTACTGTGTCCCTTGAAAAACCTGAAGAATATGATACTTTGCATAAGCAGTGACCTGTTTGACTATGACCCTGAATGAACCTCCTGGCAAATTTCTATCACACAAAAGATACCACATTTACACAGTGGATGATGGAAATGTTTTGGGTCGGCAGCTCAAGGCTGGAGCCCAGAACAAGTGCAGAGCACTCTTCTCTTACATATTCAGTGTGCTCTTCCTTTCTGAAAGCTGTCACAGAAGCCCTGTCAGGACGTGTGGAGGCGGCATGAAGGCTACAACTAAATGCATGTTCCATTGTTCAAATGTCAAAGAGCCTGAGTTGTTCTCACAAGAATTACATTCCGACAACATCAGTCTGAAAGGAGGGAAGCTGGTGGTAGCAACCCATCATCACCAGCATCACTAACAGCCCTCAGAAGAGTGTTTGACCTTGCAGATGCTGGAAGACTCACAACACCCCTGAAGAACTTTGTACTGGTGGAACTGCTACCTAGGAGCAAAGATATTGCTGGTTATTTTACAGCATGTCCCACCAAGTGTCTATGCAGAAGTCATTAACAGCAACAACACTGTAGGTGGCAACTCCCTGGAATGATCCATCTGGGGTCAGTCAAGGAGTGCAGAGTATTACAGCTCCTCTTCTGTTTGGCCTGGACTGCAAAGCACAGCTCCAGGGACAGTAGCAAAGGACAAACCATTCACTTGCTTTGGCTTTTTTCATAGCAAACTTGCTCCATCTCAGATGTCCTAACCTAAGTGGACCAGCAATGCAACTGCTCAAATATAGGGATCAAACTGATGAGCCAGAGCCTGGTTGGGGCAGAGGCAACTACTACGTGCAGAAGACCTCAGGGGATGTGCAAAGATATTTGTTCCAAAATGTTGAAATTAATCTGCTCACATGAAGCATTACAGAAGAGCTGGCTGCTCTTCCTGCTCCAGTGAAGGGTTCTGCCCTTCACTGTAGGGTGACAGCCCCTACTCAGGGTGCAGGAAGTTCAGAGGGTGTAAGTGCAGTCATTCCTCCTGCCTTCCCATATCCCCAGGCAGCAAAAGGAGCAGCAGATCCTTTCCAACTGCCCATTCCATAGCATCCCTCTATCCTCCCCTCCCCTTTCCAAGGAAGCAGAGCACTGTGGGGTGGATCCAGTACTCCCAGTGTATCTTTTCCCCTTCAGAAAGGTGCAGGAGGAAGCTCAGAGCTGCAGCAGGAGTACAACTGCTATAGTTTAACAACACTTTGGTGTCACCAGACTGTTCTTCACAAGGCGATTTTCACTCCTTCAAGACAACTTCTAACATGACAGACAATTTCAGATAAATACAATAAATTGGGGAACTGAGGCACAGAGGCTTCAAATGTCACACTACATACTGTTGTGCTCATTGAGATTTAGACTTTACTATGCTGTGTTTTGCTCCACATGACACATCTGTCTTCACAAAAGCTGCATATTAGCACACATTCTGGTGCACGTAAGATCAAAGAGGTTTTTCTTATCTCAAAGGAACCTTCAAAAACAAGATGGTAAGATTTAAAATCATGCAGCTACCAAACAGGGCAGGAGATAAAGCTTGTCCCAGTTAGCACACTGCAATAAAGGCAGAGAGAATTCAACATATTAGGAATAGCAAGCACGTGGGACAACCACAAAGCATGTCCAAAGGTGTGATTCCTAACACACATCCAGCTCCCAATGTCTTCTGGGATGTTTCCAACTTCAATGCACTCGGATGAGACCCACAAGCAAAGCGAGGCCAACACAGGGAGCCAGTCAGGTGCCATCTTCCCACTCTGTTTGCAAACTGCTCATCAGTCTTGTGTAAGTTCCTAACAATCCCCTCTAGCAAGTGACAGTCTCGGTGTCTGGCCCGGAGCACGATGAGCCACCGTTGTGTGGTGCAGGGTTGTTGCACTGTCGCCTCCTTGTTCGTTCACCTCTTGAGCATGGAGACCAGCTGGCCCAGCAACCCCAGTTTCCATTAATAGCAGCATCTGGGAGAAAAAAAAAACCCAACACAAGCCAAAGCCAGAAAGGACTGTCAGAATAAAGCAGCTCTTTCCATGGGAAGACCTGTCAGCTTCCATGAATCATATTTAAATACAACCAGCTCTGCCCCTGTCCACTTCACTAACAATATACATGAGCCATTAACAATGAGTGATTGTATCAAAGATGTTAATTCTCTGTTCAGCATTTCTGGGGTTGGGTCAAACTACAATTTATGCAACAAAGATAAGAAAAAAAAGAATCAATTAGCTTTATATTTGCTTGTAAGGTGTTTCTCTCCCTGATAGAGTTCAAGCCTAAGTAAGAAAACAGAAGCTAAACTCATGTCAGCCACATCTTGAGGTGCTAGGGAAAATGTGAGCATGTTCTTCTTCAATGAACAACAGCTTGAATATTCAGCTTTCTCTCTGTTGCTTTTCCTATTACACTGTTTCTTCTGGACTCTGAGCATGTGAGTGACATACATTCAAATCCTGAGAATCATGGAGCTGAACACGAAGGTAATACATAAAAGGAGGGAAAGGAGTGAGAAAGGAAGTCACATGTTGACAAGTGGATGGATGTGAGTCTTTGAGAGGTTTGGATATGATTACATGTGTGGTAAACAGACTGGAACAAGGTGTAAGTGACTCCACAGCTTAAGGCTTCATGGACTTCCATAGCAACACCTACAAAATTGACCCTTCTCTGGGTGAAATCTTGGCTTCAAATGGATTTCAGCCTGGCTTGGTTAGGACACAGTCATGCAGAATGAGAAGGGGGTAGAAGATTGTAAACAAAGCACAATGATAAATGCAGTGCATCAAATTGTGGGACTGTGCCAGAGCTCTGGGTGCATGAGATCTGGTATTATTTAGCGTCTAAATTAATGAGCCTGGAAGAAGTAAGCAAAAAGACTAAATTCACAGATCATCCTAAATTAGGAGTTAAGAGCATCAGTCAGGAGACAGCAGCCATACAAAGTGACCAGGAAACATCAGTAAATGCTTCAAAGCAACATAATAAGATTTGAAGATTAAAATGCATGGTAATATATCTGAGGGAAAACAGTGTGCAACATACTGGCTGTATTACAGGGAAAAACTTAAGAAACAGCTGTTGGAGGAGACCTGAGGCTTTTCATGGACTGTAAATTGCATAGAAGTTGGTATTTGATACAATTGCAAGGTGAGTCTCTGCAGCTTGGAACTGCAGAGGTCAAGCCACCTCCTCATGAGTGCAAATAAATGTAGAAGAGGGCAGGCAAAGTATTTCTGTCCTTCTGCAGGACCCAGGCCCCTTGTGCATCGGGCTGGGCAGAGCAGGGACAACCAGTGCCAGGAATCACTTCCCATCCATCCGCCCTCATCCCTGGATGCTCCAAAATAGACCTGGGACTGTCTCCATGGGCTTGGTGTCCCTCTCACCTGTCCTCTTGCTGGTCTCACAGGCTGTGCCACTGTAGCCAAGGGGACATAAACATCGACATTCGCTTCCTGAAAGCAAGGAGAAAAGGTGGGATTAGAGGCTTCATGTCACATTTCCCTGAAGACACCCATTTCCTTCAGACTGCTTTCACAGAGGCAGAGTGGTCAGGGTTGGAAGGGATCACTGGAGATGATCTAGTCCACTCCCTGCCAGAGCAGGATCACCTTCAATAGGTCACACAGGAACGTGTCCAGATAGTTTTAGAATGTCTGCAGAAAAGGAGACTCCACAGCCTCTCTAGGCAGCCAGTTCCAGGGCTCTGTTACTCTCACAGTAATTTTTTCTTTGTTTAACTTGAACCTCCTGTGCTTCTGTTTGTGCCCATTGCCCCTTGTCCTGTCACTGGACACTGTGGAAAAGAGACTGGACCCATCCTCCTGAGAGCCCCCTTTAGATACTTATAGGCATTTATGAGATTCCCCCTCAGTTTATTCTTCTTCAGGCTAAACAGACCCAATTCTCTCAGCCTTTCCTCATAGGCCAGATGCTCCAGTCCCCTAATCATTGTATCCCTCTCCAGCAGGGATATGGTGGTAGTGCTGAGAAAGAGGAAGCAGCACATGGGAAGAAGCATCCCAGCTTGGCTTTGCAGCAGAGAAGCCCAGGGCTGTGGTGTGCATCCCATGGCCGGACCCCAGAGGACAGCTTCCACTTAGGAAAAGAACACTCATTTAAAACATCTCGTTGAGAAGATCCTAAATGAAATGCTAACCTGACTCAGCACCTTAAAAGTTATTTAAACAAGGGTAATCATGAGATGAAGCCTTTAAGTGCTACAATCAACTTGCTGGTACCTGAAGCAATCGCTTCTGCATTAGATTATAACGATTCTCATCAGGACTTTTGCAGATGCAGATTGAAATTAGGTACTTAACAAAATGGTCCCTTTGTTGGAAGCTCTCATAACATCATAAAACTCTGTTTAGACAGTACACTTTTTGTTCAGTTTGATTATTTTCCTCCTTCATTTTTAACTCACAGTCTGCTTACAAAGGAGGACAGCTTCTCTCAGAAGCAGGGGGAGGTGATGGTGACAACTGTGCTTGGCACATATATGGTGCCTTTCATCTTCAAAACACTTTTACAAACACTAATTAATGCTGAGACAGTAGTCACTTCTCTAGGAGGATAGCAGCAATCTTAAAAGCAAAGGAGGAGACTTTAAGATGTCAAGGTTTGGGGTTTTTTTAAAAGCATAATTGAGATGAAACAATTTCTTCCACAAAACTGGCACAGATGGTCACTCCCATTGACAAGGCTCATCCTGTGTGTCTTTGCTGCCTTTACTTTCTGGTGGCACTCTACAAACACACCGACTTGAAAAACGTTATATATACACTTAATTACCTGAAAGAGAAATGACAGGATTAACTAAAGAGCAGATTACTCGCCAAGCTTCCTCACCCCCGCAACTTCCCAGCTCGTTTCTCATAGAGATGGGAAAGAAGGGGTGCAAAATCTTCCTACCTTGGAGCAAGGGGATGCCATTGGCATGGCATGGAGCACAGTGACAAGTACTGGTCTCCAGCTGAAACTCCTCCAGGGCCCGTTGCAGGTTGCCCTTTATTGCTGCCGCGTCAGCGACGTCGGTCGGAGTCACCAGCTGGAGCAGTGGCTCTGCCTGAAGGGAGGGGAGAGACTGCATTTGTTTCCAGGTTCAGGCTGGTGTGAGCATCTCAGGGCTCGGTGGAGACACAGCTGGAGAGGGATTTGAAGGCCTCATGGTACAGGCTCCAGGTTTCCCAGTAGTGTTTCCTTAAACTTTGTGAACAAGGCAGTGATGTCAGGAACACTCACAGGGACCCTCTCCTTGGGTCACAACACCAAAGTACTTGCAGAAAAACAACAATCCTACTGTTAGTTGACCAACAGGCCAAGTTTCACAGAGTTTAGCTAAATTCTTTCTCATCCATTTTCCTGATACTGATTTTTTTAGATCCAGTTGGCTCTAAATTATGCATCCTGGGTCCTCTCTTACTCCAATTTAAAAAAGCTGCCCCCAAAATCCACCCACAACAATCTCCTTCATTCCTCTTCCAGCCACACAGCCCAGCCTACATTGTAGGCATTCACATTTACACCTACACCTTGGCCATTTCTGCATTTCAAGGCTCATTTCTCTCTTTATGAATCTAAAAAAGAAGAGTTTCCACTGCCTTCAAAAGGAAAAGGGGTTTGATCTTCATCAACAAGCAAATGGGCCTGGTGGGAGATGATAAGAGGATGCACAACACGGTGAACATTCCCTAAGGAAAAATGAGACTTTGGCTCATTTATTTTCTGAGAACAAGTGAGTTAAAATATGGTCCCAATACTGCCAGTCACCCACTAAGGCTAGTGGGACAATACTGGCACATGTCAACCCAAATTCCCAGCCCTGCTGCAGGGATACCTGCCATGCAGGCCATGGCAATGCAGTGAGCACGAGAGATCACCCCACTGCTTCCACAGGCTGAAGCTACAAGTAACAAAGAATGTTTCAGTAAAAAAAAAAAGCTCATTTCCTGCTGCTGTACATCCACTCTTCATCAATTATCTGTGATCCATACTTAGCTTTTTGAATTCAGATCATAGAAATGAGGAAACACACTAGGAGTGACCTGCCAAGTGCCTTCAGCAGATGATTTATGAACTGATTTGCTTTAGTTTTCCCTAACTAAGCATTCTTGGGCTGACATTTAGTCACACTCTGCTGGTACTTTTGATCTTCGGGCCCCACAGGGACATGGGTATGGAAATGAAGGATTAGAGATACCAAATCCAAATTACATCTGTCTGGGGTTTTTCATGGGCAGCCTGGTCACTGATGCCAGGCAAGACAAAAAAAAATCACATTTTTTTGTGGGAGAATTTTCTGGACATGGGGTCTAGCATGGAGGGTTGTATTGATGTCTCCTGCCCAGAGACCTCCCAGAAGAGTTTCAGAAGATCAATCCACAACACACCAGGGGCTTGAGAAAGCCACCTCCATGCAGCAAGTGCTAGGCAAACAGGCTGTATTTCTAAACTACTGATTTTTCTTTGCCTCTTGTTTTTCAGAATTCAACTTATTTTTTTCATTAATGAAAAGTCACAATTTTCAATGAGAAACAGCTTTCACAAATATAAACATTTTTGCCTAAAATGAAAGCAAATTATACAATATCAACATAAATTTCCAACACTACCAGCCCAAAATCCTGTTTAAAAGGATGCTCTCTTGCACCTTTGTGCTATTCACTGAGAGTGAATTTATTTTGACATTAAAAAAGATGAGGCAAGACAGCTACGTACTTCTGCTCACTTTTTTACTTCTACAGTGCCTTGCAGTTCTAAAACTCTTCAGGATGGAGAAAACCTTGACTCTTCAAAACCTAACTCCTACTTTTGAGGTTTAGCTGCACTGCACAAACATCCAGGCATGTATGGTGAACCACTCGATCTTCTGAACCAGAGAGAATTGTTGCTGAATAATCACTGATGCTCAGGGAAGACAGAAGAAATTTAAAGAGAAACAAGTCCTTATACAATACATGCTGGTGGATGTATTTTTGAGAAGTGCTACACTGGTAAAAGAGAAGTCGGATCATCTGACCTGCCTGGCAGGCAGCAAGTGATCCCATCTACACAGCCATGTAAGGAGAGTTAAAGCTGTTTACTTCTTGTCCTTCCAACCTCATCCTTTTTAAGACATCACACTTCTGATTTTCTAAACACCCAGCCTTAAGAGAAACTACGAGGCACGAGTCAGGTCTATTGTTTGCCCCAGAAATTGCCCTTTTTTAAAAAAAAAATCCTGTTTATTTAAACACAGACTTCTCCAAGGTGCTCAGCTAAGTGAGGCTGAATGGAACGACAAAGACCTTACCTTCAGCTTTATGATTTCAGGGTTGTACTGGACAGCATCTCCCCACTCCTGCATGAGTGCAGCCGTGGGCAGGTCTTTGTTCGCCAACGCTACGATGTGTTCGCTCGCTCCGCCGCGAACCAGGACGATGAAATCTTCCACAAACTTCTTCTTGGAGGTGCTGTCTGCAAAAATGCATTCAGAAAGGGACCAACTCTGCTCAGGTACATCTTTGTGGATTGCAGCCGAGGTACAAGCTCACAGCAAAACACTCCTGCATATCACCCATCCCACAGAGAGGGCAAAGGAAAAAAGCCAGAAGTGTTTCACACCTGAAGCCTGGTTTCCTGTGTCCCTTCTGCTCCCGTGCAGCAGTATCCCCATCCTCCTCCCCTGCACCTAGATCTCTGCCCCTAAACTTCTTCCCTATAGTTGGTTACACACTTGTAGGTCCTTCCACAGCCTGATGTTCCTCACTACCATGAATCCTGCCTGTTCTCCTCTGCGTATCTTCAGGTGCACCCTCCTCCTGCTGCAACCCACCTAGCTATTCCTGCATCCCCAGGGGGTTCCACAGCACCCTTACCTCCCTGCTTTCCTCATTTGGGCTATTTTGGGTGCAAAAAGTGGCACACTGGGCTGCTCCACTGAAAGGAGGATGGACTGCGTCAAAAGAAGCATGACCAGCAGGTCAAGGGAGGTGATTCATCTTCTTTGCTCCCATGAGATTCACCCTGCAGTCCCATGTCCAGCCCTGGGGACCCCATCACTAGAAGGACATGGAGCTGTTGGAGCAAGTCCAAAGGAGTCCACAAAGATGATCAAAGGGCTGGAGCAGCTCTGCTCTGGAGACAGGCTGAGAGAGTTGGGGATGTTGAGCCGGGGGAAGAGGAGGCTCCAGGGAGACCTTAGAGCAGCCTTTCAGTACCTGAAGGGGCTACAGAAAAGCTGGGGAGGGGCTTTTTACAGGGGTATGGAGTGATAGGACAAGGAGTGATAGTTTCAGCATGAAAGAGGAGAGATTTAGATTAGACATTAGGAATAAATTATTTCCTATGAGGGGGTGAGATAGTGGCACAAGTTGCCCAGAGAAGCTCTGACTGTCCCATCCCTAGAAGTGTTGAAGGGCAGGGTGGATGGGGCTTGGAGCAACCTGGTCTAGTGGGAGGTGTCCCTGCCCATGCAGGGGGGTTGGAACTGGATGATCTTTAAGATCCCTTCCAACCTAAACCATTCTGTGATTCTAGGATTGGTAACACAGCACCAGCCAGGGGGGTAATGGTCGATCTGTCTGCTTTTCCCTGGGACACTGAGCAGATATTTTTGCTCTACCCAGAAAAGAAAACCTTGCAAGAAGCCAAGCCCTGAGACTTCTCCACCAATGTTCAGCTTGGCTGGGGTTACCCAGCAGACTCAAAAGCAGCTTTGAGGGGGTGGGGAAATCTTTCAGGCACACAAGATCACAACATCTTCTTTTCCCTCTGACAAAGGCTAAAAACGAAATGGCAGAAATGTTTCATGCTTACCTCCAATTTCTTGTAAAAGGGATTTACAGCCATCTTTAGTCATTCCAACCTTCACATAGACACCACGAATATTTGCACCAATGCCAGAGCTACTCTGGGCACATTTCTGGACGTCGCTCAGAGAAAAACCTTTCATAGATACCAAAAAATAGTTGGTTTATTACAACTGTTAAATGTTTGATGTCCACATATACAGAAATGGTGAGCTGATAAATAGTTTTCCCTTGAAAAAAAGGCGATGAGATGGAGAAGCCTTTTTTGGGATATTTAATAGATGCCTATGCAACCATGAAATCTCTCCATTTTATAGGATCTTCTTTTCCCTCTGACAAAGGCTAAAAACGAAATGGCAGAAATGTTTCATGCTTACCTCCAATTTCTTGTAAAAGGGATTTACAGCCATCTTTAGTCATTCCAACCTTCACATAGACACCACGAATATTTGCACCAATGCCAGAGCTACTCTGGGCACATTTCTGGACGTCGCTCAGAGAAAAACCTTTCATAGATACCAAAAAATAGTTGGTTTATTACAACTGTTAAATGTTTGATGTCCACATATACAGAAATGGTGAGCTGATAAATAGTTTTCCCTTGAAAAAAAGGCGATGAGATGGAGAAGCCTTTTTTGGGATATTTAATAGATGCCTATGCAACCATGAAATCTCTCCATTTTATAGAACTCTGAAACCAAAAGCAAATGCAAAGTAAATGCTAGGAGAGGTTTTTAATGACCAACTCAGCCTCACTGGATTATGAGGAACTGCAATAGGTGGGAGCCTGGTTGGTGACTTGAACACCAAACATCTAAGAAATGGGGCAGTGCTGATGGTTTGAGAGTATCTGCAACCTGAATCTAAACTCTGTCCCTCCAGCTTATACCTGACTGCAGGAAAAGCAGCTTCCTGGAGAGAAGAAGAGCAAACAGACTATCACACATGGCAGAGTCCACAGAATGCTTTAGCTAACAGACAGCAGCCACTCACCCCTTTGCCAATGAGTAAATAAGAGAGTGCAGCTATTGATTAATGTCACATGGCTCTCTCTGGCCTACACAACAAGCATCATTTATCACAAAAAAAGGAAGCCAGAGCCAAAGTGCAAGAGCAATGTCAGGTCCAAGAGTCACCCAGCAAATTATTTACTGTTTCCTACACGCTGGAAAAGCTCTCGAGGCAAAAGGTGTTTCAAAACTTGTCATTTGAAAGGTGATGGAAAAAGAGCTCAGGTGAGGGTTTGCAAAGCTAACAAAAGCTTTAAGCTACATGATTCTCATTCATCTGAAAACCCTGTCAGCCTCCAAAATGTGTTGTCTAAAATACTTGTTATTGGCCAAAATACTTGGGCTTTTTCTTGTGATCAGGCAGCACCCACAGCTTGAGATCTACATGAAGCCCATGATGCTTTGAAAACCAGGCTCTTCACTCACTGCCACAAAGCCGTTCTAGTCCCGTATTTCCCGTGGGCTTTCTTTGGGATGTTGTTGACTCCTTCTCCCACCACCCCTCTTCTCTGACCTCAGACCTGAACCACCACTGGGTGCCAGCAGAGGGGTTTTCCCATCAAAAAGCCAGCCAAAAAAACCCTTCTTCACAACCCCCAGATGCACGTACTTGCCTTTTGGAGCTCCTCACTGTTCATGACCAAAGTATATTCGTAGATGCCGCCGACAGTGGCCTCGGTGATGTAGTGGGTGCCATAGTCCCTGTAGAGCTCCCGGTACTCCCCGTAGCTGTACTCTGAGGGGAGCTGCTGCAGCCTCCGCAGGAACTCGTGATGAAGCATCAGGGCTCGTGGCTTCAGCTTATACACAGCAACAGCCAACTCTGAGCGGGCGTGAATGAATTTGCTGGACTACAGGAGGTGCAGAAACACAAGAGAATCCTGAAGAAGTGAGGGGTGGCATCCTTGTGACAACAGGGAGTCATTTGCTATCCAACAACTAACACTGGTCAGGATTTATCACTCTAACAGTCTGCGACGGGAAATCTTTGAGTTCAGCAAAACCAAAACTTTAGTAGCAAAGTTTCTGAAAATCAGGGCTGGTATTAGAGAGGGAAGAAAGAAGAGGGAGAGATACCCAGTACAGGTTAGGTGGTGGCTCAGACACCCAGTACAGGTTAGGTGATAGGAACTTTTGCCCAGGTGACAGGGAAGGTGCCCAGTGTCCCATCCCTTGCCACTTGTACATTTACTAGCAAGTCCATTGCAGGGAGGGCAGACCACCTGAATGGGCTTCTTAGATTCTTTTTTTAATTACTTCACTACAAATATCCAAACATGCATGCCCAGCAGGGCACGGGATGGACTGCATCATCCTGCTGTGCCTGGTTTTGGAGGTTAGGTAGTCTGGTTCCTGCCAGACAGGTGAAAGGAAAAGCTCCTGGGTGCTGCAAAGACACTCAAAGGCATTGTGGCTTTAGAAAACACTTGACCAATGCAAACTGCAAAATCAAACAGGGGGAAAAACTTCATTAATCCTGGTCCTGGCTGCTGACCTGATGATGGAGATCAAACCAACACACACACATGTTAGAAGAGAATTAAGTGGAACAGTCCTTACAGTTGAAGAAAATCTTCTCATCCTTTGCATGGACTTCTTGAACCTGTTGTCATTAGAACTGTAACCAAGTTCAAACACTCCTGGTATTTTTATACCAAAGCTGAAGCTAGTCTGTGAAGCCTGTGCCTTCAGGACACTGCTTTCATAACTTGAGTAGGAATCATATTCAGTCATTGTAAATTCATATTTGCCCATGGTCTAAACAGAAAGGAAAAACAACACGTTTAATTTCCTGCACAGTGATTGTACACCTGAAGCATGGGGAAGGAGAACAGATACAAATATACTTGTGGATTAATGCTTGCACTTTGAAGATGAAAAGCCTTGTATAATTGCAAAGCACTATTATTATTAACACTGGTACTTCAGGAATCCTTGATTTACTGCAGCAGCAAAGTTACTATCTCGTCTGTACTGCAAGGACCTCAGGCTTTTACTTAATATGTCAGTCTTATGCAAAGGAGGTGAAAACTTAAACAAAGGCATAAATTAAAGTAAGAATTCAAAAAGGAAAAGGTTTCACAATGGGCAACACTCAAAAATACCACACTATGTGATCGAGAGCTTTTAGGCCAAATATATGTTTGAAATAAAGCTTTGATGCACCACAGAAATGGGCTGGGAGCCTTTGCCTTCACACAAAGCACCCATGTGCTGTCACATCTTAGGTTGTTGCTCTGCCACATCCTAGGCTGTTGCTCAAGGACAGCTCTCCCAGCCTGGCTTTCAAAGGCACTCTACAATTCCATCTCCAACTAAGCTCCTCATGCCCACTGGGTGGCTGTGGGGCCCTCATGGACAGGTGGCACCAGGAAGGTTAGGTCAGTTTTTGCAATGGCAAGGTCCAAGGGAATGTTGCCATCTATTCCAGTGCACACAGACTGGGGACTTCTCCAAGGCCACCAATGCAGGGGGTATGATGATGTTTTAAGACTAAGGCTAAACTCAGCCTCATACCATTCAATCTCACAAGTCTGGTAATTCTTTATAAAATGATTTAGTCATGAAGCTTTATTGCTATTATACACTGAAATTACTGGATTTTATGTATGTTTATTTGCAGAAGAATCTGACATGTACCTCTGGTGTGTAGCTTTCTACATTATATGGCTTTCTGAATCTTGTGTCCATGATATAATGGGGAGAACATCCTCCAGCATAGTACCTGTGGTCAAGAACTAATCCTTCCAAGTTGTTTGTGAAGATATTTAACCTGTACAGAAAGCAGAAAAGCAAAGTGTTAAGCTTAGAATTGAATTAGGGGTAAACATCAAATGATGCTGAGAAAGGCTTAAGATTTTCTGTTTGTCTGATCAAACCACTTACTCCAAAAAAAACCCAACTGACTGACAAGAAAGCAAAAGACAGTCTTTGATGCTTAGTGAATGTATTAAGTAGACAAGGGCAGTTTTGACACCAGAGCATTGCTACAACCAGCACTGGCAGCTTCTGTAGCCTTACTGGAACTCTCTGGGAAAAGCAGAACTGGTCCAGCCAAACACCCACCCCACCAGGTTGCCTACCCTGAACATTCCCAAGTGCCCACAGTATCCAGCAGGATCTTCAAAGATGCCAACCCATGTCATTAGTCCAGACTAATTTTCAACTCCTGTTTCTTTGTCCTAGTTTATCACTCATCATTTTTGCTGGCTTGGTCAAGGATCAACCAGAAATCAGTAGATGAGATTGAAAATGTTAAGGGAACAAGATCTAGGTACTAGGTTCAACTACTCCTTGAAGTTATTAGGACGTTCTCCTTTCAGGTTAGTGGATGATGGATGATAATGTTAACCTGTCTGTTCTAAGAGACAATGTCAAAGTTCAGCCTTTTTAGATGAGTTGATTAAATCCCATAACTTGCTTTTCCTATTGCTGCCGGAGGGATCTGTTGCAGGAAAAGCCCTTCTGTTGCTCCCTATCAGGACATCCTCACATCCCCCTCATGGCAGGCAGCTGAGGACACAGCACACATCTCCACAAGCTCATCCTCAAATAGCAATAAGAGTCATTAGAGGAAACTTCACCCCAAAGAAGGATAAATTACTAATAGTCCATGTCGTGTCCCTATTAGTGTTCCAGGACTCTGCTGGATCTGTCTCTCCTTATTTTGGGGAGAGAGACTTGTGTGATAATGACTCTGAAGCTGTTAAATATTAACTCGAATTTTAGAATAATCTGAAAGTCCACTAAAAGCAAATTACTGAGCAACAGCAGCTTCAAAGAGATGAGAAGCATGTTCCTATAATTGTCCAACATTATTTTTAATTTTGATTAAACTCAGAAGCACAAAGCATTAGCAATGACATGTGCAGCAGCCACATCTCCAGAGAATAAAGAGGAAATTATAATTTTTTCCTCACAATATTTTTTTCTTTTTCTTCCTTTTATGTGAAAAGCTTTTTTTTTTTTTTTTTTCCCCTGTAGAATGAGAAAAAAGTCTTTTCACACAGTCTCATATGACAGAAAGTTACCACAGTCTTAGCTTGTAAAAGCCAGATCAATTCAGACATGGATTCGAAACCCCAAAAAGTTGAGGTTTGGTAACACGCAGGTTAATCCTACCTCACTCACACAAATTTTACCATCTCTCACTGTTGTGGAAGAAATTAAAGACATTTTCATCCCCCAAATCCAATACAGTGTGCAAAAAACAAAAATCCATGGTTAGGTGTAGACTGTAGTCAATACAAGATGCTGATTGAAGTAATTCTGTAACAACTACTAGAGTTTTAGATTTTAAGAAACCTTCCTTTGATTTTATTTCAAAACTATGATTTTTAGCT